GTAGCTCCCACAATAAGCATGTCTGAACTTACCCCTTAGCATTGAAGGCAGCCATTGTAATCACAAAGAAGCCAAATAATAAACGATGAACTGTTATTTAGTGGTGAAGATGTTGAAGCAGTGAAGGGGATGTACAGTATTTGAGTTAATTTCCGAACCAATTGCAACTATGATTAGCCGTGTTACTTTAAGCCATGGACTTAAGCGTATACAACAGTTCTTTTACTATTTTATAATGTTTTACTCATTTTGTTTGAATGACACAAAATATGCCTGATGGTTTTACACCAATGAATTCAAAGTTTGTGAAGAAAAATGGGGTTATGTTGAAATGTACAGGACGTAGAGAAGATAAGATAAGATGTACTTTATTAATCTCACACAGGAGAAACTTACATGTCACGTTTGGCATGGATAGAAACACTCAAAAAGTAAGAAATGTTCAAAACAGAACAGGACATATTATGTACAAAAGTGGCATTAGAAAGTGGCAATGAGAAGAAGTGTCAATAGTAGTGCAGCGACTTAAAGGAATAGTTCACCGTTTTTACATACTGACATATGTTCTTACCTTACCTTAGACTAGTTAATACGTACCTGTCTGGTCTTAGTCCGTGCGCTCTGTCATGCAAACGGAGCAAAAACGGGAGCACAACCGCAGCCTCCTCTGTATACTGTGTAGGACCAAAAGGTAGCTCCCGCTAGAAGCTACCAAACTCTTCCAAGTGTTCCCTATTAAATGTATATAGTTACGTGACGTGTTACACTGCAAAGTATAGTAACACAGAAATGTAACAGTCGATTTTCTCAGCGGATAAAACGGGTACTATATTGTGAGGCGTAGTAATCTGAGGAGTGCTACGTCCGCGCACTAACTTCTCTCCGGAGACTTCTCTCTCGCTCACTTCCGTCAATAGAAGCAGCGTGACTTGTAGTACACACAGTAGCAGCGAGAGAGAAGTCTCCGGAGAGAAGTTAGTGCGCGGACGTAGCGCTCCTAACTTCTCTGCGCACTAACTTCTCTCTCCGGAAACTTCTCTCTCGCTGCTACTGTGTGTACTACAAGTCACGCTGCTTCTATTGACGGAAGTGAACGAGAGAGAAGTCTCCAGAGAGAAGTTAGTGCGCGGACGTAGCGCTCCTCAGATTACTACGCCTCACAATATAGTACCCGTTTTATCCGCTGAGAAAATCGACTGTTACATTTCTGTGTTACTATACTTTGCAGTGTAACACGTCACGTAACTATATACATTTAATAGGGAACACTTGGAAGAGTTTGGTAGCTTCTAGCGGGAGCTACCTTTTGGTCCTACACAGTATACAGAGGAGGCTGCGGTTGTGCTCCCGTTTTTGCTCCGTTTGCATGACAGAGCGCACGGACTAAGACCAGACAGGTACGTATTAACTAGTCTAAGGTAAGGTAAGAACATATGTCAGTATGTAAAAACGGTGAACTATTCCTTTAAAGTGACTTATTGTACAGTCTGACAGCGGTGGGGATAAAGGCCCTGCGGTAGCGCTCCTTCCTACACTGAGGGTGTCTCAGTCTTCCACTGAAGGAGCTCCTCAGCTCCTCTACAGTCCTGTGCAGTGGGTGGGAGGTATTGTTCATGATGGAGGTGGCTTTGGCTAGCACCCTCCTGTCCCTCACCTCCTCCACAGAGTCCAGGGAGCAGCCCTGAGTGGAGCTGGCCCTCCTGACCAGCTTGTTCAGTCTGTTTCTGTCCCGCTCTGTGCTGCCTGGGGCCCAGCACACGGCAGCGTAGTATATGGCAGAGGCTACCACAGAGTCATAAAAAGTCCTGAGCAGAGGCCTGCTCACTCCGAAGGACCTCAGCCTCCTCAGAAGGAAGAGGCGGCTTTGGCCCTTCTTGTGCAGGGCGTTGGTGTTATGGGACCAGTCCAGTTTATTGTTAATGTGAACACCCAGGTACCCCTGGATGTTCAGCAGCGTGTGGGAAAGTGCTTTTCTCCTGAAATCGATGACTATCTCCTTGGTTACTTACTGGTGTTCAAGCACAAGTGGTTGCACTCACACCAGTCGACAAAGTCCTTGATAACCGACCGATATTTAAGTTCGTTCCCCTCAGACACACAGCCCACGATGGCGGAGTCGTCGGAGAACTTCTGCAGGTGACAGCTGTGTGTGTGACGACACTGTTTTGATTCATGCAACTAATAACCTCTGCCCAGGAGGTAAAGGAATCATCCGAGGTTTGAGGATTTGGACGAAATATTCAACTTGTGCCATGGTCCAGTGAACAATTTTAAAGGTGATCCAAATCACCGTCTGGATGAGGTCTGAGCTCTATCACAAAAGTTTCTTGGCTTTTTATTGTCTTAAATTGGTAGATTGTTTCCACTTAGCTGGAACAATTCTTTTAAATAAATTCTAAGGGGTAAAAATCTAAAACTTAAATTTCAGATCAATGTTCTATAATAATAGAAACTCTGAAAACTGTTTGGAATCAATATTTTAAGACACTAGTTAAACATGTGTATTTTTGGTAAATCAATCCATCAAATAAGGATTTCTGAACACATTGGACATTGGATTTGATCAAGCTTAATATTCCTACTATGATGTCATCACCAACAACCAGGAAGTAAAATTAGAAACTGAGATAATGGTTGTAAAATAATTAGAAAAATCCCAAATGTGATGAAGTGTGTTCTGTGAAAATTCTAAACTTTGACTAAGAATTGTAAGACTATACATTAGCGTCATAAGTACAGGATCTACATGGGTGGTTTTCTGTCTGAAGCACAGGTCAGCCCACTGTTCTCGTGTCAGGTCAGGATAAAATGACTTTACTTTATATGACTTTATAATTAGTCTCTCTATGCGTGAATACTCTTTTACGGGGTGTTGTAAATGTCATTTTCAAAAGACAGGCAGCGCAGACACTCATGTACGCCTACCCAGTGGTTTCTTCTGGGCAGCACAAAGTCTTTGTATTCTGCTCTTATACCCTGGGAAAATATCTGACATAAATAAGACTCTCAAGAGCCAAGCACTTTCAGGGCGTGGTGTAAATTCTGAAGAATCTGCTTGTTTACTCATGCAATGTCTGAAAATAAAAAGAGAACTATGTTTGCTTCAAAATCAAATACAAATAAACAAGGGCTCTTGAGCAGAGTTTGTGGGCAGAGCGAGCTGCCTGTGGTTGACGGATGGTGGAGATGGAATGAAAAGAAGGCCATGTTCTTTCCCCATCTTATTATTATTTTCATCATTGTCAACATTAGTCATAAAGGGTTGGCACATGTCTTTAATTCATGTTAGACCATGAGGGAAACAACTGCTTTAGGCAATGTGCAATACTATAATAATGATAACGTGCAATACTGTACACAAGGAGACCACTGATAACTCACTTGTGTCTCTTTGTTTTTCTTCATGATTTACTCAACAATAGTCATTTATCCTATTGTCAATAATAGAATAGTTTGCTTATTTCATTCAGAGTATTTCATTTTGCACATACCTACCACACTCAAACAAAAATAGAAATCTTAAGTCAACATTGGTTAGAATCTCAATTGGTTAAACTGATATTGGTAGGCTTCACCAAGATATTTGCATCAGTTGTGCGTTATTCTAAACTAGATGAAAACACAACAATACTGTTCATTTCTATATGTTGCATATTCCACAATTATGGCACCACCGTCAAGTGAAAGTCTGATCCTGTCAGACCTCAGTAGCAGGACCTGGTTAGTACTGTGACCTATGGTAACATCAGCTGCCCATAATGGGCTGGCTGAGGCTAAATAGTAACAGACTGCTGTTGTGTCCTGTTGTGTCAAGACAATGCATCCACATTGTCTAGTATGAGTCCGGTGTGTGCGTGAATGACTAATGGTTGGCCAAATACTTTTTACCAACATTTTGGTCGGAATAATTTGGCACTATGACCATAATTGGTTGCTTTAACCAAAAGGTCAGTTGAACACATAACACACGGCAATCCAACTGGTTAGAATTAACAATTTGTTTTTAGAGTGAACTGTGCATAACTGCATATTCTACTTGGGACAAATAAACAACATGAACTTGGCGAATGTTAACTTACATTTTAGGAATGAAATGAGGCTCCGTTTAGATTGTTCATTTGAGCTCAGAGCTATATATACAGTTGATAAAACAGAAAAATACATCAATGTTCATTCAAGAGCTACAAAAGGAAAAGGCAGAAGTAAAATATACTTATAATTCCCTACCCCTTCATTGCATAATTACAATACATGGTGGCTGTTGATTGATGCATGAGCAGTGAACACTATGGATTAGTTAGTTTTGTTTTGTTTTACATTAGATATATTTTACATTGATATAGATTGTAAACAGGAGATAAATGTTTTACTTTTAGTTGTGTGTGCACATGCATGCAAGGTACTTACATTAACCACATGTGGCCCAGCCAAGGGCATGGCCATTACCATGTGATGTATAGATTGGCAGCTCATATTTACAGATAACTATATTCTGCAACCTGAGTTGTTGTAATATTTGAAAAATACCCTTTTTTGTGCCATTGAACAACAATACATTTATACTTTAGAAACGAAATGTAATATATATGTGTGTGTTGTGTGTGCGAAGCAGCCACCAGAGGGCAGCACAGCGCAGCCAGCGGCACAGGAAAACCACACAACAGCGGAAGTGACCATTCCGCCTCTGTTATGGTTAAGCTCTGGTCAGCTGCATCGATTTGGACAAGAAAGGCGTGAATTTGAGTTTAATATATTTTACATGATCCATATTGTCATCTCAGTCACAACGTAAAACAGGTGAGATCAACATGGAATAGTTTCAGACAGATGTGTGTAAATAACAGCCAGGGCTAGCAGTGCCTGTTAGCAGACACTCTTTAATCTTTATCAATGGATCCCCGACGATGGCATTTTACCATTTTAGTGTTTATATTCTAGTATTTAACTGACTGACTGTCTCATGTTGTCTTTACTTCTCCCGGGGCAGAGGTCGGGCAGACATGGAAGTGCCCTGCTATCTCCCGAGGCTTGTGGCTGAGCTCAACGAGCAGCGAAAGAGGGACTTCTTCTGTGACTGCAGTGTGCTGGTGGAGGGGCGTGTGTTTAAAGCCCACAGAAACGTGCTGTTTGCGGGCAGCAGTTACTTCCGGGCACTTCTGGTCCACTTTATACAGGTAAAATCGCCTGAAAATTGTGCCTTAGAATAATCACACACATCACAATCTTTCTGGGTTCCTCCTGGAAGATCCTGGGTTCGAATCCCGGGCTGATCAGGGTCTTTCTGGGTGGAGTTAGCATGTTCTCCCCTGCGTAAGTTTCCTCCGGGTGCTCCGGTTTCCCATAGATGTTTCACCAAACATGCACAATAGGTATGAATGAATGAACGAGTGAATGGATGGTGTTGGTTGGTTGGGCTCTACTGCGCCAGTGTGTTTGGCGTCTCGCATCCGTCATCACCGTGTGTAGAAAGTGAAAAAGTATTTGAACTCTCAACATCGTAGATTTGGGTAACCTTGGTTTGTGAAATATTCTATATAAATATAGATTACTTACTTACTTCTCAATATTTGGAGACTGTTATTTTGTAAGTTGATGCTCCAATATAGATTGCCTGACGACAAAAAAAAAACATTTTGTTGTGGTTCACTGTCAATGACCCAGACTAGGGATGTAAAAAACTATGAATTTTCATGACCGACCACCGAGCCTCATTAACCGGTTGAAACCGGTTAACCGCGTAGTTTAAAATAGTCCACGTTCTTTGAAATAACAGCCATTTCGAGCCGTACTTCTCATAAGTGCAGCTCTGCGTTCTACTGGATCAGAGCCGAGACAGCGGCGCCCAAACCCGCAACAGCTCCGGCACCTTTGCGCACAGAGAACTGCTGTTTTAATCTTCCCATTCTGCTGTGCTGCGGGTTAATACCAAAACTTTCTAGCAGCAAACGACGGCTCGTTCACATGGTCAGAGCAGCGAGTGACGAGCCGCGTCTCACAGGTCTTCACAAAAGTTTAAATACAAGTGATGTGTGTGGAGCTGATCCCGAGGACCATAAACACAAACATGTTCCATGTGGTTTGACTGGAGCCGTGTGTTTGTGCGAATCCTTTGGGCTCCGTGACACAGAGGAGCGCGACAGACCGGTATGTGTGTGTGTATGTATGTGTGTGTGTATGTGTGTGTGTATGTATATGTGTGTGTGTGTAAATGTAAGCTCCAATGTAGTTCTGACCCGCGCCAGTGTGCAGCTTTGACGGTAACAGAGGGGAGAGATGATGCGTGTGGATGTTACGTATGGAGAGGGGGAAAGTGTGTGTGTGCGCGCGCGCGTGCGTGTGTGCATATGTGGCTTGTGCGGCGTGAGAGTCGTCCCGGAGTTTATAATACATGGGCGCACACAGCTAGATACAGACCCGCTCGTCACACCGTGCAAATAGGGCTTAAAATAGCGTTATTAAGAGACCTCCCCTCTCCCCTTTTTCTCTTTTTTAACCGACAGCTTTGACCGGTTAACGCTGTGACGGTCAACCACCGGTTAACCGGTCGCCGATTTACATCCCTAACCCAGACATGGATTAAGGGGAAGAAAATTGATGGATGGTCTTAAATATGAAATCTTGTGCTTGTTATAAGATACATGCTACTACTCCTATGTTTTGAGAATATATCAATAAACCTTGGATTAGACCGCCAAAGAGGAATTATGATAGATATTATCAGATGTGGTATGAGGGCATCAAAAGCAAATGAATGGAGCAAAATGTAAACCTTTTAAAAGTTTCACATTTGATGAAAGATATACAATGGAGCTTCTTCAAGCACCACTTCTAAGAAAACAGTGTGACAGCAAGTCTGATCAAACCTGAATTTGTATTATTATTGTTGACTGCTGACTATTTCTGTATCTTTCAGTTTTATTACCCTGTTATCGTTACAGTAGTATTTTGTAAAATTCATTCTTGTTTATTTTTTTTAACAGGACAGCAGTCAGCGTCATTGCACTGCCTCACTAGACATAGTCACAGCAGATGCCTTTTCAATTATTTTGGACTTTATGTACTCTGGTCGACTGGATCTTCACAGAAACAATGTCATTGAAGTGATGTCCGCAGCCAGTTACCTACAGATGACGGACCTAGTGAACTTCTGTAAAGGCTATATCAACTCCTCTTTGGAAATATGCAACAAGGAAAGGGAAAGAAACTCTGTCAAGCAGCGCCAATCAAAAGACATCACAGATTCTCAAGCAGTGACCGACTCAACAAGTGCAATGACCAACGAGCCCCAAGTAGAGAATGACGAAGCTGATCACACAGCAAGTCAGAGTGGAACCGCTGCTAAAACGCTACCTTCTTTATCCAACGATAGTCCTGCAGGGTCCAGTCGAGATGTGGACAGCAACTTCCACATTCAAGAAGGTTTTAGCGAAAGACACAAAGAAAATCCAGACCAAACTAACCACTCATCTTCCTCATCCTCTGCTATGACGCCTGAACTTATAAACCCAAAGATTGAGTATGACACTGACGAACCAGTGCTTATTGAATCTCCTGAGCCAAAAATCATAGGTACATACAACACCCAGCCTCTACACAGTCTTCATAACAATAGACTCCTTCCTCCATCCCCGTCCAATGAGCGGTCTTCTTATAGTCCTACGTTCAATGCTCGTCATTTGATTGAACTGCTGGCAAGAGGTGAAGGCCCTGTCCCCATTGTGGAGCGCGAGAGTCCACGTTTTGTCCCAGGGCTGGATAGTGAGGCAGGGGGGAACAGAATGGACGACGGATTGAGTTTTGTGGGTTCCTCTATGATGGACGCTCAGGGTGATTGGCTTGGAGATACAGGTAAAATATTTCTGCATTTAAGAATGGTTGTTGAGTTTTTTTTTTTTTTCACGGCAGCAGCTTTTACACACCATTTTCTCTGTACCCTAAACTGTAGGTGATAACCTGATGGTCCAGGTGAAACTTCACAAGTGCCCGTTCTGCCCCTACACTTCTAAACAAAAGGGGATTTTGAAGCGACACATCCGCAGTCACACCGGAGAGCGTCCATTTCCCTGTCCGCTTTGTGGGAAGAGGTTCACGAGACAGGAGCACCTCCGGAGTCATGCTTTCAGTGTGAGTACATAGTTTTGTACACTATTTAAACATGTCCATTTTGTTTATAGTCTCAATATATTGAAACGTCCATATATATTGGGATAGATGTAATCCTTTTTGCCTCTATAACACAACAATCAATTATAAATATATTTAAATTAGTTGGGATTTCAGAATTTCATTTTTAGTGCAAAAGGATTCATGACTGGATTATAAAGGGACACAATCTAGATACAATCTCTTCAAATTTCAAAAAAGTGTAATTACTTTTCTTTACAAAAAAAGAAAGCTGAAACATTGAACTTCTACGAGAAGCACTGGCTCATTGGTTCACTGTTTCCTAAGTAGCTAGAAGTAAAAGTAGCTGCCACTTATTGGCTTTTCTGTTCTATTGTGGTGGATAAATGCATTTGCGTCCGGTAATGTGTAGGTACAAACATGATCAACCCAAACTCTCTGTCTCCACTGGCAGGTTCACAAAGACTGCTGGCCTGTGCCGTGTAAAAGCTGCCGGAGGACCTTCACTGGATCAGCGGTGACTTCAGGCCTAAAGCGCTATGGCCTCTGTGACAGCTGTAACTGCGTGACCACCACAAACGAAGACTCCGGTCACCCTGTTGACCTGGCCGAGCAGGGGGAGCGGGCAAACGGGGGAACAGACTGGTCCAGTTTTATGGACGATGTGGAGGAGGTGGAAGTGGGCCGAGTGGAAGATCTGGTGGATAGGCAGCTTGGTGTCGGCTGTTCTGATGTCGAACCGGTGTAAAGTATTGATTATAATGATGTAATGTTTTTGTTTAATATGAAAAGACAATAATAGCAGCATATCCCTCGCTTCTAATGGTTCAAGCATCCGGCAAGATGATCCAGGCCTTTTAATTCAAATTAGTGTGTGTTTTATGTGCTTCAGTTTCCTACTTACAAAATTATGACTATTCTATATACAATACTATTATCGGACTTTAAAAGCATCAACATTGCGTCCTTCGTGTGAATGTTTGTGATGTACTGTTATTTAACATTTTTTTATGTTTTTCCACTGTAAATAAATACATGCATATTTATGACCTACTGTAGGTTCACTTTTTTGTCATTTACTATAATGCATAATTGTGTAACAGTAATTGCAGTGGTTACGTGCAACTTCTGCTCTGTAAGTCAGAAATGCACATTGCATAAGACCACACAGAACTATATTGAAGCTGAGGTAAACTAACTTCGTGTTATAAATCAGTGTTTTTCAACCACTGTGCTGCGGCACAGTAGTGTGCCGTATGATATTGTCTGGTGTGCCGTGAGAAATTCGTCTACTTTGTCTAAAAATAACTGCATTCGCTGTTGACGAGCAGTGACTTGTTTTGAACTGTGGAGTAACCATGTAATACTTTTTCAAATCAGTAGATGGCAGCAGATAGCTAAGTACTTTGAAACTGAAAAATTGGATGCGACCACTGGCTGTAACAGGTCAGCATTGTGGCGAAAAAGGTAAAATTGGATGCGACCAACAAATGTGGGAGGGAGCGAGACAAGAGCTTTGTTGCGAGTGAGAAGTGAAAGTGATAGAGACGTTTTTGAAAATGAATTATGCCGTTTCTGAACAGGATTAACATCCTCCGCTCTGCCCCGGGGCAGCTGTGGCCGCGTTGTAGTGGTTTAACTATGAAATGTACAATTTTTGTACAACAGCTCTCGCGAACGCACTTCTGAACCACAGACATGCGGACCGGACAGAACCATGGACTCGCGTTCAGGACCTCCCGTGTCCCTCATCCAAAACTCCTGAATTTAAAGCTCGGATACCTAAATTTTTCCCATGCACTAACAATGCATGTTCTTTGTGTGAGTTATTATTTGACTATTTGGGCAGAGAGTGGATTTTCTTAGTTTTTTTCCACACAGTTAGTGCCACTTTATTCCCAAACTCTTGTTAATTGTATCGAGAAATATTAAATAAAGCTTAATATCAAGGCCTGGACTTAAGCATTTTGATGAGAATAACTGTATATTGTGAATATAGGCTACAGAGTATACTGTATACATTATAAGATAAGATAAGATATACTTTATATATCACACAGAGTATGTACAGTATATATTTTTACATTAGTACTGTATGCATTTTTACGTTTTCTCCTGGAGGTGTGCCGCAAGATTTTTTCAGTGAAAAAAGTGTGCCTTGGCTCAAAAAAGGTTGAAAAACACTTATAAATGACAAAAAAAAAAAAAAAAAAACATTAAATCGTGGAGAACCAATCGCCGCAACACGCTCTTTTCTTTTGCATAGTTGTAAAAAAAAGCCCCGTTAGTCAATATTGGACGCTTTGGTTTGCGCTGAGTGGGGGTCCTCTTCTTCACTGAGATTAAAAAATGCATTTGAAACTAGAGAAATGTCTGTAATTTGAACGTCAGGAGATCATCCATGACATTAGGTGACTCACTTTGTGGAAGCGATGAGACCACGTGACTGTTGTGATGACACGTGACCATTGGAAGCAGGAAGTCTGAATGAACTCGTGATCACTTATTTATCATGAGCGCGCTGTCATCTGTAGAACTGTGATACGCTGGGCAGCTTCAGCATAGGTATTGTGATAATTTGTTAGCATACGTCTTCATATCTCAGTCTATGGTCTTATCCCCGGTGTAGTTTAGCGAAAGAGGCCATGTTTTGTGCAGCAGCGCTCCTCTGTGTCTCCGCGGCAGTAGTGGCCGAGGCTCGCTATTCTGCGGACTGGACCAGTCTCGACGCCAGACCTCTGCCCACATGGTATGATGAAGCCAAGCTGGGTATCTTTGTGCACTGGGGAGTGTTTAGTGTGCCTGCTTTCGGGAGTGAGTGGTTCTGGTGGCACTGGCAGGGGCAGCAGCCTCCAGATGCTAACTGTGTGAACTTCATGTCCAAGAACTACCCCCCGGGGTTCAGCTACCCCGAGTTTGCGCCTCAGTTTCACGCACAGTTCTTTGACCCTGGTCAGTGGGCCGACATCTTCAAGGCATCAGGTGCAAAGTGAGTGGAGATTTTCCTGCTCAGATTGTACTTCCTGTTTTGCAAACGAAAGTAGATATACGTTTATGATTGAGCAGGTATGTGGTTCTGACCGCCAAACACCACGAAGGCTTCACAACCTGGGGTTCCCCCTTCACCTGGAACTGGAACTCTGTGGACACAGGCCCTCACAGAGACCTGGTGGGAGATTTGGGGGAGGCAGTCCGAAACAGGTTAGTTCTAGAGCCGTGATTTTCAAAGAAGTGATACCTAAAACAAAACCGATATTCATATAAATGTACATGTTATATTATATTACGTTATAAATAATTGGCCTTTTGATTACCACCATATTTAAACCAGGTGTAAATACTTCTATATCCAAATGGCATTTGAACCAGGTATTAAACAGGATGTCATTTTTTTTTAAATGATAAATTAACTGCAAAGAAATCCATATCTGATCAGATATGTCTTGTGCTGTGACCTACATTAATATAATTTTCTTGTAGGTCCCTTCACTATGGCTTGTACAACTCGTTATATGAGTGGTTTCACCCGCTCTATCTGATAGACAAGAAAAACAGCTTCAAGACGCAGGAGTTTGTTATGAATAAATTGCTTCCAGAGATGTACAACATGGTTGTGAGGTTTGTTAAACACTATTTTTCTAAAGTACAGATACTGAGAATCTCACACAGGGGTCTCCACAGTGTTTTGACCGTTCTTGCTGAATGACCAAATGCCTGATATCCTACATCTATGGCAAATATTTGAATTATTCACTTGTTTTCTCGGGGGCCCTCCGCTCCTTATGCGTATACTATACTGTATACTCTTTTATCCCACAGATATAAACCAGAGTTGATCTGGTCAGATGGAGACTGGGAGGCTCCAGACACGTACTGGAACTCCACTGCATTCTTGGCTTGGCTCTACAATGACAGTCCAGTCAAAGTATGAGCCCACACTGCATACATATCATTTGATATGTTATTTTAGCGGGCCTAATCTTATATTGCTTTAGGATACAGTTGTGACCAATGACAGATGGGGAGCAGGTTGTGCCTGCAAACATGGAGGTTACTATAACTGTGAGGATAAGTACACTCCAGGTGTGCTGCCCAAGCACAAATGGGAGAAATGCACATCTGTGGACACATCATCATGGGGTTTCAGGAGAAACATGAGGCTCAATGAGCTTATGGACCTGCCCACGATCATTAAGGTATGTCAGACATCTGCACCTCTTTCTCTTTTTCAATGTTAGAACGGACAACTCAAAGTACCGGTAGTTCCTTTTAGCTATCATACTTATATCATACTGCTCTCTTGTTGCAGGACCTGGTACAAACTGTGGCTCTGGGAGGTAACTACCTACTGAATGTAGGCCCGACCGCAGATGGAACCATTCCACCCGTGTTTGAGGAGAGGCTTAGGGGGGTTGGCTCCTGGCTACAAACCAACGGAGAAGCCATCTATGCTTCCAAACCCTGGAGGGTCCAGTTTGAGAATTCAAGTCTGCCGATCTGGTAAAAACATATTGATTATTCCAAAAACTTAGGTGTATGAGAGGATTTTCTTTTTCCGGGTGTCTCATGACCCATCATCAGTATTTTACATATTTTTTATTTTTTTGGCAAGGTTTACATCCAAAGATTCCAGTGTGTATGCGATTGTGACCAGCAAGCCTAATATGTCTATTGTGCAACTTTTGGCTCCCAAAACATCGACAAAGACCACGGTAACGATCAGATAATCTGATGTGTTCCTGATATATTGATGGATCTGTGAATGACCACATGTCTGCTGTGCAGGTGACTCTCCTGGGGAATGCTAAAGCTCTGTCCTGGTCTCCTCTGCTCCCTGGAGCTGGCCTCACCGTGCTCCTCCCTGCACTCCCAGACTCTCCGGGTCAGGCCTGGACTCTGAAACTTGAAGGTGTTCAGTAGAGGTTTGATGGTACAAACCCTAGAACTCAGGTTTACATTCTTAAACAAAAATGCACTTTTTGGGTTGGGACCAAATGTTTTAAGAACACTATTTTACATTGATTACCGTAAGTGAAATGAATTGAATGTTTTATAATCATATTTTGTATGATGTTTTTTTTTCTTTAATGAAGTGGATGATTTTTGATTTTTTGTTGATGTATTTCCAATCGGCAATGGGGAACTTGAAATAAATTGAAGGATGCTCCTTAGTGATTGCAGTTGTGTGTGATTGTGTGAACATAATTGTCATACACTGACATACCAAGAGTGTTCTGTAAAAGAGGAAATGTAAAACAAAAAACGCAGACCATAAACTCGCTAAAATAGCTTTATAGTAATCATTATAATAGTAATAATATTATTAACCATTAGAAAATGTTTGAACAACATGACAGTGTTACATTCTGTGTTAGGGTAAACCACATCACAGTGTGCCATCTCTCTGGGCTTTTAGACACATCCAGTTCAAGAAATCATACAGGGAACTGTTTTATATGTACAAAATGGGCACAACAAACATGGATGAATGTATGTTTCATTGCCTAAGCACGGTGCACCTCATCACATTGTTTCATGCACAAAGTGTCCGCTGTGGAGTCACGCAGTACAGTTGTTCAAACGTATGGCATCACTATTGCTATGTGCTCCATCCAACTCATGAGAAATGCATGGTATGTACAGTTTGTGTCTTGGGACTGAGTATAACATGTATAAAACAGGAAACTAAAAAACTTGAGCTGAAGCTGTATCAAATCCGTCTACAAAGGTGTTAAGTGAGAGACCACGGCAAAGTGAAGTGAAGGGCTAGTCTGAAGATGCTACAGTAGAAGTAGAATATCACTGAGGGTTGTTGATGAGATTGAATGTTCTTGTCCTCTTGACCACCCAACAGACCGTCCATCGCTAATCCAACAGCTTCTTAGTTTCCAGGCCAGGATTTTTGTATTAAAATCCACTTTTGTAAGTAGCAGCAATGTAAAGCAATTGTCCTTGTTTCAAATACAGAATCATGTCAACCCAAGCTTAGAACTGACACTGTTTTAACATTAAGCAGAGTAATGGAAATGGATTACTATAATATCTAGTAACAGTTATGTATTAATGGAGAGCAACGTCCAGATATATTTACACATTTGTAAACATGAAAGTGGCAGGGGCTGTTATAATTACACAGTAATCATTTGTCTCTGATCCACAGGTTGAACCTACACAGTAATGTTCACTGTCTGCACTGGAAAAACATTACAGTACAACCACATGAGCCTGCAGAGTGGAAGGCTCTACATACCTCCTCAAGGTCTAGTTATATAACAATTATAGTCTAAATGATCACGTTTAAGGAATTTTAGAGAAAATGACTTAAACTTGAGCTAAACTGGATATCCAGAGAATGAATTCCAGCAAAAAATAGCAGATATATAGATTTAGTGCACGCAATGAAACATTTCAAACATGTGTTTTATTCATGATAATGTCTCACAATTACTTAAAAAAAGTAAAAAATAAATAAAATAAATACATAGGCATATTCATTATCACCACCAACTTTTGGCCTACATATTGTTAAACCATTGGACTTTTTTGAGTGATTGAAAGGAAAAAAATAAAACACACCCAAGACCATTTATGTTGTTTTGGAAATAAAAAGTATTATACTTGCAGATTATATCTATTTGTTATATTAATAAATACATCATTTAGTTATACAATTAGTAGACACATAAACTGGCTACTTGCACCTTTGATCCCTATGTTGATTGACTGCTTCTCCAAAAATGGCTACTGTATCATCAATGCAACTTGAGAGCGCCCTCTAGTGGAAGGCTAACACTAGTCCAGGGTGTAGGAGGTGCTGGACAATCCCCTGAGGACAGAGGGCTTTATCACGAGCTGGACTCACTACTGCTAGACAAGTGAGGTACTCAGAACAAGTCCATTAAACAGTTACATTGTACAGATTAGAGTATTGATCACCACATGGGTCCATAGTCGATACAGTTTCAACAATATGATTCATGAAAAACAAGACCGGAATCTTACAATTGATGTTTCCAGTCAATAAAGACCCCCCAAAAATGCAATATGGAGAAGTGAAGAAGTCTAAAGTCCTTCACAGTGTAGTAACAGTACAAGAGCATGTCTTTGTGCTTTAATCGTTGAGGGCAACTACCAATGAAATGTCCCGAGAAGAAAAAGAAAGCAATGAGTTTTGCCAAGGCTGCCTAGCAACCCCCCGTTGCTTTGACAGAGTTGACTGTGATGTCAACAGAGACGTTTCTGATTCTGGTTTGAAGTCCTCATCAGATACAAAGACTCGTTAAATACTTGTAAAATTTTCAATATTTTCCCCCATCCCACAAAAATACAAAATCTCCCTTGGTAAATTAATTTTCAGAGGACATTGTAGTAAAACATGCAACAATAATTGAATCCTGTCCTGACTATTGCACACGAGGGTGAGGGAGACTGTTATCTTTAGAGGCAATAAAAACATTGTTTAGTTAACAGTATTTTCGTACGTTTTTCTATATACATTTCTTTCTATGGTGTAAACTGAAGCCTCCAGCTGGTTAGGCACATGTAGTTGGTGCTAAAGGATAGAAGAGGTTATAGTTACAGAACCAGGCGGTATCATATAGCAGGCCGAGGGAGAAACGCACTTGGCAAACTCTACTCTTTTGCCAAAAGTACCCTGTGACCCAAAGCAACATAAACCTAAAATAAATCCACTTTGAACTGTTGTCAAAACATACCACACAACTGTAGAATTACAGAAGGCTAGTAGAATCTATTATAGTTCACATTTGATATATTTTTGTACATACTGTACTATTCTAAAAATTATTTGTATAAAATATACATCTGCCATTAAAATATTCCATTTCCAACACATTTCAAATCGTAGAAAAAGAAAAGAATCATGCTTAATAATTCCTCCATCTCTTAAAAATGGTTAATTTTGGACTATTTACCACCTGTCATTGCACACACACACATAATACACACACAATCCTATAATAATGTTCACAAGAATACTTCGATTGGAAACACTCTCCTCTCCAAACTTGTAAAATCATGCTACACATTTTGTTTTTGAAAAGTACAAATTGAGTGATGTAAAGAATACAGAAAATGGGCCAAAACAAAAGCATAAACAAAAAGCCCAACACAAGAGCGTTCTTCTCGATCTTTAGGCATCAGTGATAAATATGCCATCAGTGTCCTGCTGTAGCTGCAAACAGAATGTGCATCATGCGCCTGTGACAATTCGCTATGGCACATCCAAGAAGCAAATGCACTTGACCTATGAATGACTGATAACATTGTTAGTTTTCTTTCAAGGATTATTGTTCCACAAACAAACAACATATATTTTTTCAATTATAGTCTATCACACAGTTGGAGTAAGATTTTCTAATAAAATTACTGTAGAGAAAATGTTTTTTTCATTGCTGTAAATTGGCTATAGATTCTCAAAAAAGCTATTGGTAAAACACATTTTAAAGTGATCAAAAATGTTTGAAATCTTTTAAATAAAAGCATTCTCATCTTTCACTAATTCTACAAACACATGATAGAAAAGGTATTGATTTAAACAACATTAATGGGTGTTTCTTTTCTTCTTTCATGGCTGTTTCGCAGGCTGTATAAACTCCTGCCTGAGGTGGAGAGAATCCTTTGTGGAGCCACTCTGGTCAGTCTGAGTCCTTGAGTGACCACTAGGTGGCACAAAAGTATCACAGTGAAATGGGGGCATCTTAGGTTATGTCCTGAAAAGTCACTGCAATATATTCCCCACCCTAGAACACTACAACTTTTAAATGAGTAAATAAAAACCAAAGGGCTGTGGTTAAGTCTGTGAGGCTCCGGAGCTGTCAAGGCTGTGATGCTACACTGAGAAGCTTTTGGCCAATGAGAGTGCGCACACTATATACAAACCAGACGGCACATTCAAAGGCCTCACTGCTGCAGAGCGGAGAGGCCAAACTAGATCCACTGGTGAGAGGGACTGCCCCATGGACGTGTCCTGGTTCTTTTGGGAGTCACTTTCTCAATTAATAGAAATCTGTCACTAATACTTCATCCATATGGAACGGTCTGTGATCATGGAACAGAGATCAGGTGAATTCAAATGGCACTCAGTGATCCGTACAGGGAGATATAGTCAACTCTTTACGTAGAGGTTTTGTGCCTTTAAAGCCCTTTATTTTCAGTAATGGAGTAGTGCTTGAGGTGCACACGTACGCATGCTACTACAACGCTGACATTGTTGTACAAAAGTTGACTACTTGGGTGGGTTTGTTGACGATAGATACAAATGTGGCTACACCTCTTTTAACAAGATTTCAAAATTCTAAAATGGCTGCCGTTATATTTGCTGCCTCTTTGGACACCAAACAATAGAACTGTATTGCATCTCAAGTCACATACTTCCATACTTAAATATTCTATATGTACATACACTTTTTTAATATAGATTTGTAAAGACTAGACCGAAAGATATATGAACATTTGTGAACAAGAAAATCTACGCTAGATATTTAAATGATAACATCCATCTGAATCTAAGCTCGTTTCTCCATCTCAACCATAGACCAGCAGTGCATAGAAGTATATGAGGTGAGAGACAGTTCTCCTACCAACATGTAAAAGGGATTGGCTCATTGTTTCAACCTGCAGAGAGTGCAGCGAAACTGCAAAAAAGGTTTCTGTACCTTGCTTGTTAAATCCCATACATTCATAACGTTTTTATTAATTATTTTATTATTAAAGTAATAGTAAGACGTTCATATTTAGGGTAATCAAACTTGCCGGTGAATGTCATTTATTTTGCCCTTTTTGATGCTATATATTATACTCTGAACAAAGCGCTTGGGGTGACCTTGGTCTGTTAAAATGCGCTATATAGATAAATATGACTTACTTATTTCTACTCGTTTGCATAATTTGTTGCTAATTAGACATTTGCTCTAACGGTAAATACTGTATGTGCGGAATGTGTGTATGTGTGTAAGTGTGGAATGTTGATTTTAACAATTGCGTACATTTCATCTTTTGCAGTATCGGCACCTCCCTGTTTTGTAGACCTAGTAGTAGTTGTAGTAGTGGTTGTAGTAGTAGTAGTGGTAGTGGTGTGTTCAGAGGCGTGTCTGAGCCTCAGGGATGTAGATCTCGATGCTGTCGCTGGCGCTCTCTGTGGCTGAGTTTTGCCTGAACGACGGTGTGCGCTTGGTCTGCAGCAACCTCCTCCTCGCCTCAGTCCGGCTGCGATCCCCGAGCTCCAGAGACTTCTCCCTCATGGGCAGAGTGTGTCCACCCACGCGGGGCACCACCAGACCCCCGGAACCCCCTGTATCGCCAACGCTGTCCGCTCTCAGGCTGCCGCTCACGCCACCCATGGACTTCTTTGGTAAGGGAGGAGGAGGCTTCTTGTCCTCCTGGTCCAGAGGAGGTGATGGGGCGTACAACAAGGGAAAGGAAAATACACCCAACAAAAGCAACCAAGGGAGAAATGGCGGAGAAATAAAAAAAAAAGGAAAGGAACCAAACATTACAAATCGGGCCACATGGAAAAAGGGAGTAACGATAACGCAAAAAAATGAATGAATGAGGAAAGAAAACATACAAATAGTTAGTTTTTAATTTGAAATATTTTACACGCATGAGCAAAAGTACATTCTTTGCGCGATGGAAATGTTTGGTGCGCAACAGTGGAAGTAATTGGAGGTGATGGTACTGTCAACATTAAACAAGGACATTCTGTAGCTGCAAATGGACACGGCCCTTCAGTCCTGGACACATCTGCGGCCTGTCCATCCATAAAGATCCACTCCCATGACTGTTTTGTATTTCTGATCCTGTGAGATGACTGGTGTAATGAGTTTTGGCTCTGCTCAAAATAAATACTCTTATGTGACTGCAGAATGAATTTGAGTTATAGACAGTATGTTGGCACTTTATTAAAACTAGCTTGAGAGCCTTCTGCCTCAGTTCGTCTTTGCATTCTGTTTGTAGTGCGCCCGCAGAGGCCTAGGGGGGAGCAGGGCCATCTGTGCCACTCTCTTGCACACTGCCATCTTAGCTCGGGGGCCCCGCTGGAGGGGGGGCCGGGCAGCGCAAGAGCCGCCTGAAGATCTCACCTTCTTTTCAGGTGGAATCCTCCAGCCAGAGTCCTTCAGTCTCTGGAGGTCCTGGAACTTGACCCGAACGTCCTCGATGTTGATCTGCAACAGGTCCCAAAAGCTGGCCAGGTCCTGAGATGTGGGCTGGGGGTAGGCCGAGGGGTCCTGCACGACACAGAGGAACATCCCTGAGAAAGTGATCTGCAGACGTGGAGCTGAACAAGGGCAGTTCTGCACTTCCTCTTTATCTGTGTGTCTCAGGAGCTCCTTTGTAAGATTATTTGGTATCTTGGATTGACATTTTTATCTTACTTAAATCTTACATTTTTGTTATCAAATGTTATCCTAATAACCATGATGTAATTGAACCCAATTAATATTTCCACCCTGAAATAATTCCTTTTTTTTTTTGAAGATAGGATGATATGATTATTTAGAATCGCTCAGAGTAAAGATTCATATTCAGAGTTTTGATAATATAATATAACAAATAAGACCCACTCTTACTCTCTGGCTTTTAACACCGCGTGACTTGTGTGGTCCTCTGTTGTATCTTATTGTTTTTACTGCATTTTTATTGTTTTTACTTCATACACTGAAGCTGACTTTTTGTTAATAAAACAAAACATACTGCATATTTGTATATTATGTATATATATACATTTTCTATTCTGTTGTTGTTTTGTTGTTATTCTTTGTTCTTGTTTGCCATAGCTCAAAATAAAGTGTTAATTTATTCATGCATCATAATTGTTTCACTTAACAAAGCTGCATAATTTAAATGCGTTCCTCTGCAGCACTTAAGAAACTTGTTTTAAAAAATTTGCAGTATAAATAAAGTTGATTGGATTCGGTCAATATCTGGATTGCATTTTTCGAAACAATAATATTCCAGCTGCAATCAAACCAATGAGCCGCACATAGAGATACAGCTGTCTCAGAGCAGATCCATGTCAGCAGACTGGTTTTAGGAGAATAGACCCAGTCCACAATTTGACCAATTTTGCCCTCAGATTTGACGTTTTACAGTAGAAATGGTCAACAAATGGGTCATAGCATCTTCATTACTGGAATTTTTTGATAATCCTGATCAGTGGGTCTTGGTTTCGAATCCCGGTTATAACAGGGCCTTTCTGAGTTGAATTTGCATGTTCTCCCTGTGTCTGCGTATGTTTCCTATGGGTGCTCTGGTTTCCCCTACCACTAAAAAAACATGTATAATAGGTCTGGCGCCTTCTGTACTGGCTACCTCGCTTTCTGTGTGGAGTGAGAGACAAATGCCCACAATTGTAAAGCGCTTTGTGACTCTGTTCTGTGAAAGGCGCTATATAGATAAAGATTATTTCTCACTTATACTTACTAGGGATGTATCGTCTCCATGGCTCAAATTCTGGAAAGGTGGCCATACACATAATACCGGGTAGATGTGGAAGTTAACGAGAGGAGACGAGATTATGTCACTTCTCTCTTTTTCTCCACAAACTCAAACTCAAAACTCAAAGCTTGTCACCACAGGCTAATAAAAAGGTTTGAATAACCCTAGGTAGATCCAAAACACCCTTGGATGTGATGTATTGTTATCCCAGAGCAGCATAAATAAGTATATGATCACCAATAATAGCCAAGGGTGTTGTGTAGTAGCTGACACGTTGTGCGTTTGCCTGATGACAGCTTCAACAATTTTTATGATCTCGAAATGTTGCTGTATCTCTTCTTCTCGGTCGCAGGACGTATTATTTCATCGGGAAACAGGACGCAGTTGAAGTCGTGTTTACTGTCAGGATTTGTGTTCAAACATACCACACTCTGTTGGCACAGTCGGAAGAACTGCTGCACCTTCTGATTCATGAGCATCTGGGTGCTGCCAATTGCGTTGCGAATCAGCTCCAGGACTGTAAAAACATGACGGATAAGAAGCATCAATGTGTGTAGCCAGTGTGCATTTTGACATTTTATATCAAAAAGTACTGTTACTGATGCAGACTACAGGTATTTCAAAAGTGCAAATATTTCTTTCAATCAGAGAAGCCCGATCTAAATAAAACACTAGTTAATACATTTGGTCCCATGCATTTGTTGGAGAGAGGTCATTAAAGCAGATAATGCAGCTATAGTAGGAGAGGCCTTAGGAAAAAGCTCTCTCAAGACACTTTTATTAAAAAATCTTCATTGGCTCCTTATTCAGGCAGAGATTGATTCTGTAAATCAGTGTGCTGCCTTACTTATAACACCCTCCAGAGTCTGGTATCTTCATATATTTCTGAATTACTTTGTTTCTGCATATCATCGCAGATCCTTTGAGCTCGACCTTCTTACTGTTCTTACTTGTGTGAAAATGAAAGTAAGAGAAACTGCTTTCACCTGCTCTGCTGTGTATGTAAATGGACTCCTCTTATATGACTGTGATTGTAGGATTACGTTAGGATTTTGGGATGATCTGTGGTGTTTATTTGTTAGATGTCTTGTCGTGATTTGTTCTGTTGAATTGTTGCATTTATTTATGATTTGTGTTGTATTAAAAAAAAAAGAAATCTTCCTTCTTTAACCATCTTTTGAGGCAATAATATCAGTCCAATCAACATTTACACACAAGTGCTAAAAAAATACTATTAGTAATTAAAACAGTAAAATACAAGTTTTGGAATAGATTCCCCAAACAAAGAGTCCCTCACCCTCCTCTGGCAGCTCGTTCTCCTCCGCCTCTCTCTCCATGTTGGAGCACCAGCTCTCCATCCTGTCCACCTCCGTCTGCAGCAGGCGTAAGAAGAACTCCCCGTCCCTCATGCAGGGCGAAGCTCGGCCCGAGTCCGGGAGGCTCCGGGGCCCCTCCAGAGATGGCGTCCCAGCCCAGGCGCGCTCAGACGTGATGGGCAGTGGAGAGTGTGTGCGAGGAGGCAGGTGTGGGTGCTGGTGAGGTCTGCTGTTGACGGGGCAGGGCTCGGTGCTGAAGCCACTTTGGATGAAGTCCTGCTACAGCAAACACACACACACACACATTGTAATGCAGAGAGTCAAATGAGAGTAAAATGTATTAAACATAATATTTAGTTACATTTAGTGTGCATTCACATTCGAGTACATTCTCGGTCACGGTATGTGACCCATTATGTAACGCTACAGACAGTCAGTTATAACGGCCAACAAAAATTACATCAATTAAACTAAAAATTGAGAGGATGGCTACATTTACCAATTATTTTGCTCTACGATTATTATTCTTATGCAATGTGTTGTTTGACCCATACATTTGACCCAGATCTCAGAGCTGATGTCACTGGAGGACATTTTGACAGAGCTTGTTTTGTTATGGAATGATAATATTTTCCAAATCAAGGCTATTCATCACCTGTGCAAACCCATAGTTCTTTGTGCCTTTGGGGTAGCTGCAGGTATAGCCAGCTGTAGGTGAATGATCTGCATCATTGCTTTAATTTTGGACAGAGCTACTGCCAAAGAATGAGAAAAAAAAATACTTTTGCTGTGCTCTTAATTGCTCCAATTGAAAATGCAACTCAGAGCTACAATGATACAGAAAGTTCTACAGCCAATTTGATGGAAGAACTTCACGACACTTATGCTCTGAGCACTTTGTTGTTGGCGTTGTGTCTGATGGTCCACAATGGGGAGGAATCCATAATACACAGCTCGATTCCCTGCGAGACCCACAGCATTATGGGTAAATGTGCAAGTAGCGAATTGGTTCTTATCTCACACACAGAGGCTGAAAGTTGGCACTGCAGAGGGAACTGGATTTGGACTAAGATTGGAACTGGACTTCAACTAAAACAGTACATGATTTGGAAATATGGGGCGAAGACGCTGGAGACAAGTCTGTCTGGACCCTTCCGCTTGAATAGACAATCACAGAAAAAACCTAAGCCTAAACATTCATCGACATTTATTAACATTTATTGTCATTGGTCATCCTGCCCCCTATGCATTTTCTGTGTTCAAACTGTTTGATCGGCCGTTGGTGAATCAACAACTTTGTAAAGTCTCAGAAACCACTGCTGGTGTGAATTAGGGATTTACAAAATTTTATTCAGAATCAGAATCAGAATCAGAATCAGAATCTAATCTAATTCAGAATCAGAATCTAATTGAATCTAATCTAATTGAATGTCTATAAAAAAATATTACTCAAACTATATACATATTTTTTTACATACATTTTCATTAGTGTAATAAAAATGCAGAATCTTCATGTTGATGCTTTTAAACAGTGCAGTAAAGTAAAGTATATACACTCTAAACTAACGATTGTTAGTGTATTTCGTTAAAATACATAAAATCTATACTTTATGCTTATGCAATAAACAAAATAAATAAAAATCAATGAAACTGTAGCATAAGAGCAATCACGCCCCCTTTGTTGATTCAACAATGTATTCAAATGTAAGCATCTCAGTAACCAGGGGCAACCAGGGGCAACCAAGGGCTTGGGGGAAACGTACATGTCAATATGGCTACATTAGGGCTAGATTTGTATTTCCAGAAAAGTAAAAGTTTACCCCTACCAATAGAGGCATGCTATATGAATAAACGTTATTACCCTAATGCAGCCATTCCCAAACTCAGTAACACCGAGGCCCCCTTAAAAATCTGACGGGTCTGCGTGGCCCCCCAAAATAATAACCAAGAAGACAACATTAAGAATAGGCTCTTCTGGTTATTTTATTTTGGGGAAATAGCCTCTGCAACAAACTGATTACAGTGGATTATTCAAGTCAAATAATGAACACAAATATTTTAATATTACAAACAAAACATAAATGTAACATTAAATAATTATATTATTTTGTTTATTTTTTTTATGACCTCCCGCGGCCCCCCTGCAGTACCCTTGCGGCCCACCAGGGGGCCGCGGACCCCACTTTGGGAGACACTGCCCTAATGGATATAAATCAATCAAAATGTGTGTTTATTTCTGTATCAATTAAACAAATACATCTCAAAAATTGGGCTAAACATTTCTCTGTCTATTGAACGACAGGCCTCTAATGCTATTCTATAATTTCTAACAATAAGGGACTGGTGAGGAATGATGAGGTTGCCTTTAGGTGCAGGTATAAAATAAATCAAGGTCTCAGTAGTTCCTTACGTTTGAACCTTTAGGTTAATAATCATGTAATAATTCACAACCTTTTTGGGACTAATTTTAGAAGCATAGAAGACAAACATAAGGACACACCTCTCTGTAGGCCCACTCCCCCTGCGTGTGCACAGTGCGGTGGCATTCGTTGAACTGGCCGGACGACTCGGGCTCTGATGAGTGCCTTTGGAAGGAGCAGCCGAATTGGAGACTTTTATCCTGCGTTGGCACGGCGATGCTGAGCCCCGGGAAGCCCTCTGGGTCCAGGTCGGCCTGCACACTGGCCGTCACACTGTTGGAGCGCTTGAAACGAGCCCGTCTGAAACATCCACGTTCAATCAATCAATCATTCTTTATCTGTAGAGTGCCTTTCCTACTCAGGGAAACACAAAGCGCTTCACAGTCCACATCACACATGGCACAAATCAACACATAAAACACCAAAGTCACCGCCTTTAACCTCTGTGATTCACTGTTTCAATAGTCGCTCCCCACATTTTACCCTGTGTACCCTCACTGGTGCTTGTTGTATGCAGAGTGCACGCACACATAAATACTAGGTTTTGTTGTTATATGATTATTTATTGTATATTATTTTTGAGCATTCATAAAACAAGAAAGATGCTGCACATGCATGATGATGATTAAATACATGCACATGAGCCAAATACAGTAGTGGTCACATGGTTTCTGCAGTGTGCACATATTTTGTGGATGATAACAAGATTCCGAAATTAGGAGCTCAGTTGGTAGAGCGTTGGCCTTTGGGCCTGAGGGCCGTGGATTCGACCCCACCACATGAACTTCTCCACCGACTCCCACTGATGTTTGCTGTTGTTGTGTCCTTGGGCAAGACATTTAGCCACTTTGCCTGAAGCCCCTGCTAAACGATCAAAGCTGTGTTGTCACTGACAGAGGCGCCGTCCTCCTGTGGACACCTCCTGCAGGAGGATCAGTGAGGGACTGGTGCTCTGTGGATTGGGTGCAGCTCTGACTGCCACCCCCCTGACACAGAAATGGATTAAGGGGAAGAAAATGGATGGAATTTATAATACATATCATCATACTACCTCTTTGGGTACCAAAAAAGCAGAATTGCTCTATGAGCTCTTGAATTCAGGACACTTTCTATGCCTGGCTTCTCACAGATGGTCCCCCAAATGTTTCTTCTGCTTTTTATTATAAAGGGCTCTACCTTTTGCCTGTTTTACATCTAATTTAAACAAAATAATCTGGTGCATAAAGGGTTAAGACACCCAACAGATGATAAAAACAATGATTCTTTTGCTTGTTTGTTCTTCATAAAGCCTAATCTTTCACAAAATCGTGTGAACTTTCAAAAAGCAAGAAAAGATGAATGGGACTTTCGATCTCAACAATGAGATCTATTGACACAATGCCCCCTACACGACCCCCTCATTACCTGTCACACTAAATCGGATGGCATATGACGCAGCACTGTGTGCAAATGTCATGTCAATGGACTGGAGTGTGGAGTGTTTACTCCATTATCGCTCCAGCCCTCGCTGCCAGGCACCGTGTGAGCTCACACTTTCATCTCTCCTTTGCCTCGTATCTAACGCCATCATTGTAAGAAGACGGGCGATTGTTAGCAGGTGCATGAATGAGTGAAAATTAACTGTCACACATGTACAGCGAGACAATTTGTTCCATAGTTATAATTAGAAAGTGGTTTGCATCACGTTAAAAAGTGATATTGAATGTAGGAACAGCAGTTGTAGTCATAGTTACAGGCAGCAATGGATAAGAAAACACATTGAATGGAAGTGTTGCTCGGTTCAAGCTGTGACATCTGATGAAATATTAAATTAAATAATAATTTCCAGCCTACAAAATCAACATTAGTGGCTGCACTACGGGGTGCCTGCCTGAGAATCCTTTTCAAATTGCACAAAGGCTCCTGATAAAGACTTTCTGATGATTTAAAGATAGAGGGCTTGAAGCTTGTATTTCATTGACATTTAAGGTCAAACAACAAAACAGCTTATTTTGTTTTTGACTCACCGTTTATCCTCTTCCACTTGAACTCCTATAGAATGAACCTCAGTTAGGGCTTTTGCATCTGCGTCTGAGTCAGAAAGAGTCTCAGAACTGTCCACCTGAAACAAAGAAGCATTCTGTTCTGACAAAAGGCCAAACTATTGTGACATGATGACAGTCATAGTGTTTTACGTTAGACTCTGCTTGCTCTGAGAAAACCCGCCTTTAAAGACCAACTATTGTCGTTCTGCAAGTTTACGCCCAGAGGTCACTCATAACAAAAAGTACATTGAATGAACATGTGCCGAGGCGAAGTAATCTAACAAGAAGTAGGCAACTGCTCGGGCCCGAGACCACATTTTGAAAGGTCAAAAGAGGAGAACCCCAAACTACGTCTCACTATGGAACTATGGCTCCTATTATTGTGTGGAAAGATTGCCGCTGCACTGTGTTTAGAGCGAGTCAGGGGCCAGACGACCTTGCAACACCACTGCATATGTCAAGGATAGAGTCTGTTGTCGTGCTGCAACATGAGCTGCTAGAACTGGAAGATGGCTCTCAGACTCTTCTCTGCTGAACTCTGATACAGACGAGATCGCAGTGTGAAGAGCAGAGCTAACGCGTTCTGCAAAAGGTTTATTCCAATGGCCATAAGACGGCTGAACTCTCCCTAAATCAAGGATTTCACTTTTTAGGATAAACAAACATTGTTAAGTTAGTCTTTATAAAATGTCAATTTTAGTCTGGTTGTTGTGTAATTAAGTTCTGTGTGAACATATAAAATAGCTCAAGCTTAGTTTAGCTAACATCGGGCATTGGCAACGCTGGTCTTTCTAAATCGCACAGACCGTAATTATTTGAGTTCTTTGCAACTATTTTCTTCTACTCAAGGATAACGGTTGTATTATAGGCTAGAATTCGATCTGTCAACATTTTCTGAAATAGTGGTGAATTATTGCTTCAGACGGCCAGGCGAAACTCGGACATTTATAATATTGTCCATTTACTTCTGAAATTCAACTTACAACTTGAAAAATGGCAGACTCAGGACTTGCACGGGGAGATATACAGTATCAAGCCTTAATGCACTGTCCGGAGTTGAAATATCTTTTCCCCTGTTGCTCACACTTCACAATAAACAAGAGTTCTTCCACACTCACCTGCACAGCGATAGACGGCCTCCACTTCCTTGCCAGCCGCCCCTCTTCAGTCACCACTTTGCTCAGCACCATACTGCTCTGGGGCAGAGAGCTGGACTTCCCTAAGCTCCCGACGGCCCTGCCGTCTCGCACTTGTCTGGGCGGCCCCTCCAGAAGGCTATCTGCGGAGCTGCTGTGCTTGGCCCTGACACCGACCCCTGGGCCCCCTCCGTACGGGACAATCTCTCTGGAGCCCCGGACCCCATCCAGACTCTCTGCGGAGTTACTGTGCCTGGCACGGCCTGGCCCAGTGTAGTAGCCCCCCCTGGGGGATCGTGCGGTGATGCCGTCTGAACTGCCCAGGTCCACGGAGTTACTGTGGGGCTTGGTACGTCCTGCTGCGCTCTGGAAGTATGCGTCTTGGGTGGACTCTGTGCTGCTCTGCGCCCGCACAGACAGTGATGACTTGGACATGCGAGGAGGGAGCGGAGGAGGTGCACCTTTACAATAAGGAAAGACTGAAGTGTCAGAAGAGTGGGGAAGAGGAGAACAAAGGCATGGTTTAAAGCTAAATGTACATAATGTTCCAATAGGCAGGCACTCGCATACACAGAGAGGACAGACTGAGGAAAGATAAACAACAGACGAGCCAGGACAAAAAGGAGATAAAGGAAGGTGAGACTAACACAAAATAGCAGAGAAAAAAAAACAATTATTCATGAGGAAATGCAGATACAAGACATGATAAAATATTCATGACTGCGACTTAAAAATACCCACAGAATTCAGCGAGAAGTATGGTGTCAGTAACAGACAAAGTGAGACAACCTGCTTCTCAAGTCGGAGGTAACAGATTCCAGTCAGAGCCGTGTGATCCTCAGGCTTTGTTCAGATGTGTGAGGAAACCAATGTACTCTTGGATGACATGTAATATTTAACTTTAAAGATTGTCTCAGCAAAGTGCAAACAGGATGTTCTGACTTGAATGGATGGTGGTAAAGGACTGGGAGGGCAATGGTGAGAAAGCAAAAAATAAAGACAGAAAGACATACTACAGAAATTAAACAAAAATGGCGAGATTCAATTTAATCTCAAAGAACAATTCTCTGCCTTTGCTCAACACAGTGCTCAATTATTACAAAACCAGCAATTAATTACTAACTAACTTCATTATTTTTGTTTGATGAATTTTTTTGGCCGTTATAATTGTTATCATTTTTTTCCCCACAAAGTCTTAAATGAAAGAGCAGAAGGAGACTGTAATTCAAGAAACAAAAGTACTGCTGCACTTATTTTGCCCTCAGGAACTTGGGCATTCCGACTTTGTTTGTTTTCATGCTCATGCTTTTATCTCAGGAACTTGAAATTTAGATGTCACCAATGATAAAATCACCAGTTTGCTCTTCCACATCATTTAGCAAAGCAAACCTGTCAGATAAGTGGTTGTTTTCACAGTTATTCCTCTCAATGCTCACCCTTAAGCAATTTGTTTGTCATTTTGCAAGTTAACAATGTTTGAATTGCGGATCCCTTAAGTGCATAGTTTAGTCAAAGAGATCAAATGTTTAGGATAAATGAACAAATCAGCAGATGTTGGTCCTTGTTTTTCCGACTTTTCCCGAGTCAACACAACATTTGTCTGACTTCAAGGTTTGGTTTTCGTTGTGCGCTGGAAACGGCTGCAAGTCCTAAGTAGCTCTGAAACAGTTGTTGTTTTGTTATTATTCTTTCTTTTTTTATACCTGAGATGTTGCTACAGTGTTCATGGTTTTGCACTGGTCCACACTGGAGCAGAGAGAATTTGTGGTCTGAAACAAGCAGATTGAGCGAAAATCCACATGAGGAATGCTACATTTTTGAAAAAGGCCAACAAAGCATTCAGCCTTACATCGGTCCAGAGCAGAGAAAATAGTCCGAACCAAGCAGCTACACCACCTCTGCTGCCAGAGGATGGTCCATCTCTGCTGCTTTTACCGGAAGTACTTTGCATTTTAATACTATTGTTACATTTTTTAAGAATGATCGATTTATTTGTTTTTGACACCTGAATTTCTCACACAGGGATCAATAAAATATCTATAAAATATCTACCTATCCGTCTTAATGTAGTATAGGCTCATGTGACTTAGAAGATATTTGATGCTGTTACTGAGAAGTGTAGCGTTAGTAAAAAATTCCACCCGATCAAATGCAACAAGTTTATTAATGTTGGGATACCAAACTTTTGAACTGCAACTAGTTTGGTTCTATCCCTAGTTTGGCCTTGGACACATCTTTAGATGAGCTTTTTCAGACAGAAAAGTTAAAAAGAGAGGACCACCACCAGGATGTCTATATATTTCTGTAGGGACACACAACATGTAATAATACAAAACACCAAAATTAGGTACCACAGATTGATAATTAGAAGCAATTCTTTTAACTGTACTACACATAAAGCTTTCAAATTAGGAGTAGACTTTGCTTTTGAGACTATTGTGGATGCATACATACAGTAAATATATAAATGAAAGGGTAAGAAGCTAATAACATATTGAGCCTCTGCCTCAGCTTCATGACACATATGCCTGTCGCACACACTCACCTGCCCCGCTCTTCACGCCTCCCTGTGGGGCGGACATGGAGAAGACCGAGAGGCAGTCGTCATCTTGGGTGCAGCCCGCCTGGATGGCCCGGACGTAGCTGTGGCTGCGAGTGCGGAACACCCCGGGCAGATCCAGAGCCTCCACCGCCTGGGACTCCACCTCTCCAAACATGGTCTCACACACCGCCTCAAACTGACGGTTCAGCGTGTCTCCCAGCTAAAACAAAAATATCTTTATCTCAGAATAAAAGTGGAAATTGTTGTTGTTTCAGAGCTTTGTATTTCGTGTTGATGTGGATGAAAAACAACTTCAGGTCTGTTTTGAATGATTAAAAAAATCAAAAAAGTAGAATTTGCGTCTCCTTATCTTAATATGGAAAATAATTCTTAAACTGTACAGTGACCATGTCCATTTGTCCATCTAAAAACGGCAGAATTGAGGATTTTCTTTCTTTCGTTTCTTGCACACAATACCATTGAAAAATACCAAATTCACAACATGCAATTTTTGGAGCAGATTTTTCACATGCTAGCCAGTCAGATCTCAGAGGAAAGCCAAATGTTGGACACTGTTTTTTAGATTACAATAGAAGGATAAATGGAAGAAGAAATTCACACGATGAGACTGATCAGTGAGTTTGTACTCATGTGACGCTTGTATTACCGTATGATACAATCTGCACATTAGAACGCAGGAAAATTCTGCTTGGTGCCAATAGCTTAACAATTAATTGAATAATAAAAGTAAAAACATTGTCAACAACTTAGACTAAGAGGATTCAGTCAATCACCAGTTTACTGTTTCATCATGCTTTCTTTAAAACAATTAAGGAATGCATGTCAGGCACCACTCATAAATGACTAGATCTTACACACATTTGTAAGTCTAATGATTGTACTGCTTAATGGTGGCTGTGTTTACCTGGGCACTGGTCAGGGAGCGGGTGTAGCTCCGAGAGCGGGCGTGGCTTTTGGGGGCCGTCCTGTTGCTGGGATAGGGGTCTGTGCACTGCTTACACGAGTACCTGAACACAGTCAAATGTGTCGTAATGTTTATACAAATGTTTAAACCATAATAAGCATTTTCTGTTTTGGTTTTGGTTTCTGTTTTACACGTTTGCATATACAGACTAGATTTATGTGTGGGCAGGTTAAATGACTATACAGCATCCATTCCCAAAGTCAGTAACACCCCCTTAAAAATCTGACGGGTCTGCGCGGCCCCCCGAAATAATAACCAAGAAGACAACGTTAAAAATAGGCTGTTCTCGTTATTTTGTGTGGGAGAAATAGCCTCTGCTGCAAACATGTAAATGACGCACCCCATTTTGTAATACAACAATGATTACAATTTGATTATTCAAGTCGAATAATGAACACAAATATTTTAATATTGCAAACACAATTATATTAATTTAACATACAATAATAATTTTTTATTTTTTTTCTCGGACCCCACTTTGGGAGAAACTGGACTACAGGATACATTTGCCCAATCTCAGTTACTCTTTGGACAATTTAATAGATTCGTTTCCAGTCAGAGGTACAAACAAAATTATTAAAAGATCAGTCGCTTGTGCAAAACATTTTCTGGTATTGCGATGACTTTATAATAGGAATAGGTGGTGGTGGTAGGGCACCTTTGATCCATGCTGACAGAGCGCCTGAAGGCCTCCCGCTGGGCAATCAGGGTGGACTTGGGCGAGGCTTTGGGACTGGCTTCGGAGTCCGCGGAGTCGTCGTCACCCATGGCTTTGATGTAACTACCGCTCCTCATGCGGCGACACGGGATCTCACCCCCCACGTCGTTGCCCCCTCCTCCTGAGAAGGCTCCTCCCCAGTCTTCAGAGGGCACCTGTCATGTGACCACACCACAGGAGATCGCACCAATCAGACGCGTGGATGAACGATGACAGAGGTAAAACGATCAGTGGTGTAGGCGCAATATGAAACTTAATGATAATTAAAATGTTGAATGAAAAGGCCTGATAAATGTACACAGCCTTTAAAATAATAATAGTATCAGGAATAGGAAACAATAAATGTTATCCCCTGAGGCACCAGAGGTTTTCCCAACTCAGAAATTCAATAAATAAAAGGACATGTAACAAATATATAGACATTTTTTTTGTAGGAAGCCAGGTCTCATGTTCTCATTCTGCTAGTTTGGTGCCTCAAGGGTATGAGGTTTGATGACGATGATGGTAAATATGTAAGGGATAATGTATAGTAGGCAGGTCATTATCGGAAGGTACTTATTTTCCGATAATGACCTGCCTACTATACATTATTCTCCTTATTATACGGCTTTGTGCCAACAGAACACACAAAATAAACTTCAGTCCACTTTTATGAATGAAGAACGGATTATTTAATGCAGCCATTCCCAAACTCAGTAACACCGAGGCCCCCTTAAAAATCTGACGGGTCTGCGTGGCCCCCCAAAATAATAACCAAGAAGACAACATTAAGAATAGGCTCTTCTGGTTATTTTATTTTGGGGAAATAGCCTCTGCTACAAACATTGTAATACAAAAATGATTACAGTGGATTATTCAAGTCAAATAATGAACACAAATATTTTAATATTACAAACAAAACATTATAAATTTAACATTAAATAATTATATTATTTTTTTATTTTTTTTATGACCTCCCGCGGCCCCCCTGCAGTACCCTCGCGGCCCACCAGGGGGCCGCGGACCCCACTTTGGGAGACACTGATTTAATGACTGCAAATAAAATAGTTCCCGAAGGTTTTCCTGTGGCTATGCAGAGTAACAGTTAGGCTAGCAACTTCCAAACTAGAACTTGAACTGCATGAAAACTGAACAAAGAATTCTGAACATCAGCGGTGAGTGACCCAAACATAAACTTAACCCAAATCCACAATCCGATCCTCTGCAAATGTGTCCTAAGATGTCCCGGAACATACCTCCAGGTTTATCGCAATTGCTTTTTCTCGCATTAAAACAGTATTTTTGTCATAAAAACCTTAACAGATAATTCTGAAAATCTCTGTGCATGTGTATTAAGAATGTATGTGTATAAAATATTCTCCGATTAACATTTAAATGTGTTGATTGATTGGTATTTGCGTTTATTGAGCGTGGCTAGCTCCGATAGCGACGAAGTGGCGGAAATACTTGCGCAGGAATCTACACATCAGAATTACAAGCAGAGGGTGCGTTGCCATGGATAGCTGTCATTATTGTTTTGAGAGGTCCGTTATCAAGAAATAATGACCGGTAGAACGTTTTGAAATTACATTCAAATCAATGGAGCGTTCTACTGCTGCTGTGAGGCGCTGTACAATAAAACATTTTAAATAATGACTATTTAAAAGTTTTTTCTTGTCCATGAATATTAGGCCTTAGTTCCATAGAAAGTATAGATCTTATTGTAAGTAAAGTATTAGTCATGTTTTGTGACATTTCTCTTTAAAGCCCTACTTACCTGTAAATCCAAAGTATACTAAATTATGAGTAAAAATCGCTGGTTTCTTTCCACCTCTGTAAATAAGATAGTAATATGCAGCATAAATATAATGTTGGCACTGCTTTCTTGGCAGCTTTTTGTTCATTTGTCACATCTCCCAAAGCAGAAATATATTTCATCTGTGAAAATTATTTCACACCTCAAACAGAAGGCTCGCAGTGAATCAGTCTAATTCAGCGACACAGGGATCTAATAGTCAGTCACACACACGCCATGCATGTGCACACTCGCTCACACGTGCACGCTCATGCAGTAACTAGCCGTGATGTCAGAAAGAATAAGGAAGAAAGCAACAAACGGACTTACAGAGAGAGAGAAACCTTGACAGCTGGAGAAACACTGACACAGAGAAGGAAGAATACAGTAAGCAGAAGCAGGCAGACCAACACAGCTAGTCAACACAACAAACAAGCGTGAAGAAGAAGTGTATGGAGAAAGGCAACACAACAAAAAGCTGCAGGCGGATACAGACACACAGAGAAAAAGTTTAAGAAAATGAGTAAAAAGTCATGCGACTTGTATGTTGTTTGTATTTCTGAGTTTGAATAAGTAACCATACATTCTTGACCAAATACCTATGCAATTCTCAAAATGCAAAGTAGATGTTTCTTTTCAGTTTCCTTGTTTACAGACACACTTTTCTTGCACACTGTTTGTATGTTTTCCCAGTTTGCGTAATGTGGCATATTTTTCCATCAATCTAACCCAATATGAATGAGGAACATGATTAATTTGAAAATTTTAGGTCCATGGAGTCAGTCCCTTATCTCGCTTCATGCTTCACCAGTATGTGCCCACCAGTGCTATTGTACAAAGCTTAAGGTCCCGGCAGACTTATTAAAATACTCTCAAAGTGCTAAACATGTGATTAGAAGTCACTTATAATTCGTATCTACGGTTGCCCTGGTGACAAAAGTGATGCTGCCAATCCGGTTTTGCATGGTGTTAGCCTTGTTGTCTGTAAATATTTAGTAAATTCTTGATAATAAAAATGACAGCATCTCCACACGCTCACACACACACACACGCACGCCCCGAGGCTTTGATGTCCAGCGGAGACTGTGTTTTTAAGGTCATCACTTTAGAGATGATTCAGCCTAATCTCCCTCTCCCCCGGCTCTCTGCTGCGCTCTCCACAGCCCACAGCTCCCATCGCTTCCCTTATCGCTCCTGTATCCCAGCGTGTGTCACTATCTTCATTTCTCTCTGCTGTATATTCTTATGTTTATCTTATCTGACACACACACAGGCCAAGCTGGAGATAGCATAGAGGATGCTCCAGGAGCTGACCTAATATTGCCTTTACTTTACATTCAAGTATTCATCTTGTTCACTAGAATCATTACCAAGCTACAGATCTTTGATAGAAACCTGAAGAGCTGAGGCATTCAGAGATGATTTCTGTCCCATGTGTTTTTCTATGGCACTTGCTATTGGTAACCAGCAATATAATTTTTCATCATGATCACTAAATTATTCAATCTCTATTTTGGAGAGAGAATGAAACTGCTGGAAGGTGTATTTCTGTTTCCATTTTGAACAATGGCCCACAGCTGGGCATTGGCACCTGTTCTATTGTTTTCTAAATAGACCTTGCAGTGTAGAAATACTTCTATCAGGCTCAAGTGTGCAAGTGAAAACACCTCAAAGAACCGAGCTCTTCTCCACAAATATGCAAATGGCAGTTTTTTTTTTCCTCAAAGAAAGGTTATATTTCTAGCTTGAAGCAGGGAAGATATTTGGAAACACTAAAGCACATGCTTTGGCACGATCAAGGTCAGGCTATGAACAGTTATTTAATGTTGCAATGATTTTTTTAAACAAATGGAGTTTGACGAACAGTATCAAATACTGTAAAAGTCGCATGTCTTGACTTCACTCCTATCAAGGTCATTCATCATGGTGATCGTGGTAGTGTAAGGTAAATAAAAGTAAACAAATGGTACATGCTCGCATTGGTTGAGTAAAGTGAATATGAGAACAAACCTGGAGGTAGTGGAAGCTCCTCTCCTTCATTTTGCTTTCTATTGGCACCAAGGCTTTGTCATAGGCCCCGCCCCTGGCCGAGGGATACACTTCTCTGGCCTGACTGACTGTCATGGCCGACCAGGTGCTCCTCTTCAGGGAGTGCCCATGGTGCCCATGATGTCCTTCCCCTCCTGCCAGAGCGATGGTGGTGCAGGCCATGCACTCCCCGTGTCCTGGGCCCCCTCCACGCTCCTTTGACTTCTTCATAGTGAGCTCCTGTATGGCAGCATCCAAACTCTCATGTCCCTGGGGGTATCTACGCCTGCTGTCCCCCAGGATCCCACTGTCACTGTCAAGGTTGTCATCTGAGCTCCACCAGCCCGCGGTCCGACTGCGGTGACGCCGGCCAGACTCATGTCTAGAGTCGCCGCTTTTACTGCGCTCTCTGGACTTGGTCCTCCTGGTTGAACGAGACTGGTGTCCCGAATAGTGTCCACCCCCATCCTCCCCACCACTCCGGTGTCCTCCTCCTCGCTCACTGCGGTAGTCCCCTCCGGCTCTCATACCATTGTACTCCCGTTTAGATGGCGCTTCTAGAGAGTGGGACTTGGCAAAAAGCCGCTGCACAGAGTTGACCAGATGGCGAATGCGTGATGGGCTCTCACTGCGCTGTTCAGCGCCCCCACTGACTGAGCGTTGGTATTGCAAAGTATGAAAGCCATCAGGGTGAAAAGGAACCTGCTTCTCAAACTGGTCCATCAAGTTGGGAGGGATTCGATGCATCTTACCCCCATGACCTGAGGAGAGGCACTCTTCACAGGAGTCAAAGGACTGCATGGGTGTGTGCTGGCTGGGGTGAGCGCGTGGGAACGTGCCCCCTCCAGAGTGACTATGAGAGTGCGAGTGGGAGTGATGCCTCTCCAGAGCCAGAGCCTCTGCTCCATAGTAGTGTCCATCACCGTGGCCCTGGTAGTGGTCTCTGCCGGGGCCATCGCAGTCACATGGACCCCCACTGGAGTGCTGGGACAGGCTGCGGCTGACATGGTACCCTTTCATAGGCGCCGGGCCATGGTGGGCCGTCCGGGCCGAAAGGGGGCGCTGTGGACGTGACAGGGCTACACTGGGCTCACCTGAAAAAAAAAAAAAAAAAAAGCAGAGGCATTTTAGTAAATGCAGCAGAGTTACCAAATGATCCGCTGCCTTCTTCATGTGCAGCGTGTCTTGGAAGCGAGAACAAGAACCAACAGAAGAAATATCAGTCTATAGTCATTCCTCATCAATGCACATGTGGTCTGCCGATTACTATTATCATTTTACATAAATGTCTTATTTAAAATCATCACAAACTGTAAACTTCCCTTGTCTGCAGATGACACTGTAATTTATAGTTCACAAATCTGAACGAGATCCAAGAATCTCTTCAAATGGACCTTATCCAGGTACAACTCTGGCTTGCTCTGGGCGGCACGGTGGCTGAGTGGATAGCACGATTGCCTCTCAGCAAGAAGGTCCTGGGTTCGAATCTCGGTCGGACCAGGGCCTTTCTGAGTGGAGTTTGCATGTTTGCGTAGGTTTCCTCCGGGTACTCCGGTTTCCCCTACCACTAAAAATATGTACATTAGGTCTGGCATGCGCCTCCTGTTCGGCGACCCTGCTCCCATCTCTGTGTGGAGTGCCCAAAAATAACAAATGTAAACCGCTTTGTGACTCAGGTCTGTGAAAGGCGGTATATAAATAAAGATTACTTACTTACTTGCTCTGCACAACCTAATAATGAACAGTAAAACAACATGCAGTATGCTCTTTGACAAACGCTGGCACCCAGACCTACATAAAATGTCTTTAAACTTATCTAATGATAGTCAACTAGAATCAATACATTCATTTAAATATCTGGTAATCTGGCTTGATCCAGAATTAACCTTCAAACAATATACTGTATTGACTATACAACAAAAAAAGCCAATGCATGTCTTGGACAACTTTACAGATCAATAAACTGCTCCACCCAGGATACTAAAAAAATAAAAAATTACTACGGGGATGTAATATGTCAAAATACGACAAACTCAGTTTTAAAACCATTGACCATACTAACTAACTCACACCAAATGAAAGAATACAGCTCCAATGGCTTACTTTAGTCTTTAAGTGTATTAATTGTGACTTTCCTGATTATTTAAAACAACATCTGATCCCATTTACTGTACGTCACAGCTTTCTCTCAGAAATCTTTCCTGACCTTACTTTAAAGTTCCTCTGGATGAAGAGGGAGGTCGGCAAAAGAGTGCTCTGCTTTGAAGCTCCATCTGATTGGAATCATTTATCTGTTACAATCATACAATCTCGAAAAAGAGATGATGCATCTCAATGGGACTAACTCTAAATACATAAATAAATAATATATAAAAAATATTTGTTTTTTATATATTATTTATTTATATATTGTGAATATAATATTATTATATTCATAATAAATAAATACATAAATAAAATAAACATTAAAAAAAGTCAATGTTTTACTTTACTCAAGCTCCTTTCAAGTCATCCGAAAAGGCAAATAAAAAACTATTTTCTGCAATAAGTTAACCAATCTTAACACTTTTTGATCGATCTAAAGCTAATGATCTTATTTCAACATAAAACATGTTAACAAAATGTCTTTTTCCACAGTTAAAGCAATACGTTTTTGACATCAGGGGTTAAAACCAATGTAAAAATCTAATATTTCATCATAAATGCCCTCACTTTATATCAATAGTTCGTTTAACGTTCTAAGAAATGATACAGTTTTGAGCCTCACAGAAGTCTGTTAAATTTGAGATGGAAGCTGGAAGTCAGGTGGTGCAACCAGAAGGTCTAGTGATGCACCCGCAATGAAAGACAAAATATTATTTAAATATTAGAATTTTTTGTTTAATGTTCGTAAGATTTAAATGAACCACCTTGTCTCTGTATTAATACATACGTTACAAAAATATCTGTTTTGAAAATACTCCTTAAACGTTGATGACCCACATTCAGAAATGATCACGATCCTCCACCATTCCCAGCCCTTGTTTATGTGCATGCAAGTTTTCATATTTATTTCCAGACTTGATTAGATTGACTCAGACTCCGTGGAGTTAGCTGATTCCCTGTGTTGTGCGTTTTGCTTTCTCCGACGCAGCGCGCCGCGAGGAAAGATGGACAGATGCTGGGATAATCATTAAATAGAGCGTGGCCTGTTTGCCTTGATTGGAGGAATGAGAGTGCCACCAGGAGGCTCAGCCACATCAAGCCGTGTCATTGATGTAACCGTGACAACGCCTTTCCTCAAACTCTGAGGTGAATCCATGGACAGACTTGAGACAGGCATAACAGGTTAAGGCCAGTGTCAAACCAACGCACATTCACTTTGACTGTGTGCGGTTAACTCTGTGAATTAGGATAATGATATCTTCACTTGATTGCCTTATTAGTGATTTATCATCTGATAAAGCAATAAACTATTTTCAATTGATGTTCAACTGGTCCAGAATCTTACCAAGGGGGGGCGGGTTTCGGCTCAAAAGTGGCCAAAATGACGTGCGCTGACATGCTTGCAATACCACCCCGGGCCGATGGGGGTGGACCCAGAAGTAGAATTAGCCAATGCTAACAAATAGCACTGGCAGACCTCTCGAAAACGTCTTTACAGGATGGACCAAAAGTTGGCACTTGGCCCAAAGCTCCGTTCCACATGTGTGTCAATGCTGAGGGGGGTGAATTTTTTTGGTCCACTCTGGCTTACTTGCTGTGAATGCTTGAAGTCTCTCGTTTAAATGAATGGAGCTGCGCCGGCTGACGCATGCGCAGATGCGCTTTTTCACTTTTTTCACTTTTCTCTTTTGGATAGCTCCAGTAGAGCACATTTTTTGGCCAAATAGTTAGAACGGCGTGACTCTGTCCGTTAATATAAACAGTCTATGGATCTTACCCATTGTCCATGTTTTAGAGGGAGGGTAAACCGGTGCACCCAGAGGAAACCTACGAATACACGGGGAGAAAATGCAAACTCCACTCCAAACCTTTTTGTTGAAAGACAAAACAGTGCTATCCTATCTGTTAGCATGCCAAACTCTGTAAAATGCAAATAATGAACGTTAAGTAATTATGACAAATAAATATTTATTGTAGACACATAAATAGTAATCCAAGCTGTTTTGTCATCGCAGAATGAACTGAACCTGACTAATAATTTCAGCCTGATTTTCAAACATTAGAATGAACTCTTCAGATTAACACTACGGATAAAAAAAACTCTATGAAGCATGAAGGCCTTGATGAAACAAAGAAACCTGCCCTCCACACATAGAGTTCAAAATGCCGCTAGTATCACTGCTGCTATTGTAACTACCTCCTGCCCATTCATAAACGGTAACACATTGTGCGTTTATGCGTGAGAAACATGTTGCAATCCTCCACCCTCATTATCAAGGTCATTTAATACATTATTTTTTCCAACTCTTTCTCTTTCTGTTTCTGTTTCACGCATTACCACTGCATTATTGCAGATATTGGAAGCTAAAGTTGGTAGTCTGACATGTCTGCTATCTGGAGAAGTCAAACTATCTTTTATTTGTTTTTTAAGTTTTTGGATTTGGAGCAGTCTGCCAGATAGAAGCTGCCACTCACAGTGACACGCACACAGCATGTCTCAATTTTGAGCTGGTATTTGCATGCACATTTAAACAGGCGCGACAGTCAGATGTTCAGATGGCTGTCTTCCTCTCCCCTTCTTTGTCTGTGCTTTGACCCACTTCATCGGCCCTTCACTCATAATCTCCCCCCTGTGTTTCCACCATGTTCGTTTTATTCATTATAATTCTTTCTCCTTCAAGCTCTAACGTCAGTCATATCTTTTATAAAAGCATGTGTTACAGCATTCAAGTGGAGTTGGTTGAAAAATAAAGCTCATACACCATTGTTTTTACTAGGGAGTACCATATCTAGCATATAGTACCAAATCTAGCACTATGATTATACAAATGTAACATGGACAACAATAGAAACAAATCGACAATCTTCAAATTCCTTTTTTTGTTTTGTTTTCCTGGTTCTTTGTACTTACAACAGGGAGAGTATATCGTCTGATCCTGATGGGTCAGATGGGTGTGATAAGCTTTAAGCCAATATTTGTATGAAAACAGACAGAGCTGGAGTTAATGTTATTAAACATGAACTGAGGTTCAGCAGAAAGACTACATCACCTCTCCGGCCAAATACCCCTCTTCATGTCTCCCATCTGTGTGAAATCCGCTGGGCTTATCACCTGAGACAAAGCCCCCACCCTGAGTCTGACCCCGGCTTCATGAAGCTTCACCCTGATGCTATCATTAAATATATTGTGATATAGCTTTTGAGAAATGTTTTAACACAACAGAGTTGGCTGAATCATTGCCTGAAGAAAACTGGGAAAAGCAATTTGTATGATTGTGGTAAGTATTTAAGCTATTCCCTACTTACATAAAAGCATGTACTTGTGTATCATGTACTCATATATTTGAATAGGGCCGTGTGTGAAAAAGACCAGCGACTGCTGGAAATACACTGTCATTAGCACAAGGATATTTTCCATCTGTTGTCAGACAAGCAGACAGAGAACATGCAAACTCGACTCAGAAAGGCTCAAGACCTTTTTACTGAGAGGCGACAGCTTCACTGTCGTTCCAACCATATTTAAATGTAAATACAAAAGTTCAAAGTGAAATTTTATTATGTATTTTTTCTTTTTATAAAAAACATGGATTTATGGTGAACCACATCTACTGTAACCTGTTTTAATGGTGACAATGTATAAACTTTATTCTTAAGCTCCGTTTTAATATATATTTTTTGCCACCTGCTAAACACAGTTAAGCATGGCTTTGTTCCATTTAATAAATAAACTTAATGTATACTTTGCCGCATCCTTCCAATATTACAAGGACAACTTGTCAGGAGCAGTGGTCGCTTGATGATCCATCTCTTGTATTAATGCTCACCTTGACCATGGCATACCACCACCAGAGAATATTACCTATGGTCATGTTTGG